TTTCGAAAATATCCGAAATCGAGACACTGCTGGATCTTAAGGCATAAATGTTCATTTTGAGCAGTGAATTTTGGTGGTATTAAGTTGACCATTGCAAATCTAGAAAAAATTTTGACTGCCTGGTGGCATTTAATCGAAAAACTTATTTGTTTCAAAAATTTGCGATTCAATCGAAAAAAAGTACAAAAAAATGACTGACTGAATGACTTCCTCCGAGCACAAGCCATGCCCTGCGTGTATGCGTATGGCTGGCACTTACATCTGCCCATATCGCAAGTTGATAAACCTTCATTGAAACCAACACATTGTTGAGGCATTTCACATTTGACACCAATTGGTCGCGTTGCTGAAGAAACAAAATTTTTCGCTCGCTCCAGAGTATTAATGAGATGATGGCGGTTTATAGGATTTTTTAACGATTTTATAAGATTTTCGAAAAATACGCATCGACAGTACTCTATGTGAATACAGAACTCTTCCAGAGGAGTTAATCTCTCTCGAAAACGAAGCGCTTAAGGTTAAATTTGAATTCGACGAGAGGAGGATGAAAACGGGAACACTGAAGTGATCTATTGCAGATTATCGTCAAATTTTACATTGTGGTGAAAATGCAATAGCGTTTTGACTGTTCCTGTTTGATGCACAGCAAACGTCATTGATGCAGTCCAGACCCGCGCCACACACTCCCTTAATGCAACCGCTGATGATCGGTGATCCGTTCATACAAGTTCCGAGCACATTTGCCTTCATCACACCTTAATACACCACAATATTTCCATAAGTCAAACACTCGATTTGATTCAGCCAAATGCGCCGTGATGTCGACTCATGTGACAGTTATTAATTACGTTTCAAGAGAATTTATTAATTGGACCAAAAAATTGTTTACTGGTGATCATATCGAAGCAATATTTCAGTATTCTGAATTATCTTGATAATATCTGAAAATTCTTTAACTAGAAATAGCTCAACGCAAAGTTCAATTCTCAGATCTGATACGATATGAAACGTTATTAAATTCAGACAAAGCAGTCATCGTTTGAGTGTTTTTGAAACTTTTCTGTTTCGTCACACTGTTCAGGTCAAAAAATTTGATCTAGATCACGAGCTAAGAGTCGCAATGTTATCAGTGAACGAGATCCATACGTAATTCATGCTTAAATTATCGTACTTAANATCACGAGCTAAGAGTCGCAATGTTATCAGTGAACGAGATCCATACGTAATTCATGCTTAAATTATCGTACTTAAATTACTGTACTAAGACTACAAACGTTTGATAGCCTGGCCAATCCAGGTAATCCAGGTAAACTAAGACTACAATCGTTCAACAAATGGAATGATCGCTTCCAACTTCTGGAAAATATCACTTACTTGGCGTATAGTCATAAAGAGGTGTACCGAAGAAAGCTTCTCGATATGAATTTCTCCTGCAGCATTCGCCAAATGTGAGTATGGAACCAGCCGGACATAGACCATTTATTGAACCACCTACTGGTGTGCCAGTACCACCGCAACTTTGATAGCACATTGCGTTCGGTGCCGTACTGTTTGGATAGCAGACGTGTCCAGTTGGACAGAGATTACCTAAATCCAATCTCTTATTAATCACAATATGATTATCGTGTAGTTGTTTATGCTACAGACTTATCGTCGTCATTATGTTGTTGCTATCCTTCGCAATCACCAACGACATCGACCCTTTACAACCGATAATGTTTCATTCAATTTTTTGAAGGCGGAAGGGAGTTTAGTCGGAAGGGGTCGGTCCATTGACGAGCGGA